TACACCTCTGCCTGTTGGTTTGTAATGCCTGGGGTTTGTCCTTCTTGCATTCATGCATGCATGTCACACCGTTCCTTAGTTCCCCTGTCCTGGATTGATGCACCTGCAATACATTCACTTTAGTTGGTTTTATGTCTTTGCTAGTGAGGTGGTTATTTGTCTGAACTTGTAACTGGTATGTGTCTGGCGAAATGTCAGAAATAGCTAGTAGCTCTTTTTTGATGTACAGTAACAAAAAACAATTGTAGATTTCTTAATGCATGCTAGCATCTGCCTCCAATGCTTTTCCTGTGTGCAGGGATACCAAGCGCTATGTCCACCCCACTTTGGCCAACCTCAGGTGCAGGCTACGCACCTATACAGCAGGTAGTTTTCAGTAACATCCTCAGGTTGGACCTCAGTGATCTTTGGTTCCCTTCTGAGAGGTGGCTCAAATGCTGCAGGTACTGGCAATGGTCCTGTCGTGGAGCTGGTGTGGGGAGAGGCTATCTGGAACTTTCTTCTTTCCAGAAGCTTAGAGATGCTCCTGATATATGCGTCATCATCATATCCTCCTTCAGTTCCTGGATTTCCCCCATGAGACCCCTTTCTCTCCCCTCTTGGGTTATGAGAACTTATGTGTTTTGCAACATCACCACCAACTCAAGCTGCTCTGGCTGGGCCCTTGGCCATAACTTACAGTCTTTGCAGATACACCCAGCTCCTCTGATAGATCACCAGTTGGTATGTCTGAGTCCACTGTGTCCCATATCTGTGCTTCACTCGTTCTTCTTGACAGTTAGCCCCTACAGCCTAGTTGACCTCTGTAGGAACAGAGAACCCTGCTGCTTACCATCCCACTTCTAAAACTAAATATCACATCCGACCGTGGAGTGGAAATCTGATTCTGGCCTGGGGTCATTACTCCTGACCTGGCTTGAGTAAATTTTAAAAAGATACCTCCTGTTGTACAGTACATGATATTTTGGAAATAGTTAAAAGGTGTGGATACAATTTTCGAGAATAGCCACCGGGCCATAAGTGGAATGGTCACTAATAAACCTCCATGGTAATGACATGGGTGACCATGCTGAACTCTGACTATAAACTTCACTGTAACACTACTGTAATTACTGACACTGTGGTGGCATCTCTATACTAAGCCTCACTCATGAGAGAGCACACCTTGTATAGGTGCTATGTATTATCTGGGCAGTAAAAGATTAACATTCCATCATGCTTAGAGTCATGTATAGAAATTCTTTGCTGGCCTAGTTGACTGTTATTTTGGCTGCCATGGCTAGAAGAGATTTCAGTGACTTTGAGAGAAGAGCAATTGTTCAGGCATGTTAATCGGGACGGTCAGTGATGAAGAGTGCTCAACATGCTGCTGTTTCATGAAGAACAGAGGCTTAGGTGATGTTGGCATGGGAGTCTGTGGGAAATACAGTAGATCACAAACTAGGGACAATTGTGGACAAAAGTGCATATTTTTATCCATGCATGGGTTCACGGTGTCCGTGCATTTGTTCGAGATGCACGGCAAAACAGATGAGTAACTCTGAATCAGTTGACTGCTAAGGCGTTAGTAGGCATTTTCATCAAGTATATTCTGTCTAGAACTTCACACAGAGGGATACTATGGTTGGGTTGTATTGGATAAACCTCTTATTACACCTAAAATGCAATTTTGCAAGTAAAATGGAACCAAGAACACATGCAGGTGGTCTATTGAGCAGTGGAAAAAAGTCATTTGGTCAGATGGGTAATCTTTCATCCTGTTCTCAACAAGCCAATTAGTACATGTGTGGCGCGTGCAAAAAGAAGTGTACAGGCTCAAGTGCTTGTTTCCCACGATGAAGGGTTCTGGCACCTTTGTTTTGGTGTGTGGTGCATTTGTCTGGTGTGCGTTTTAAGTCCTTTCAACCTCCTAGAGGGCAAGGTAAATGCCAATGAATACAAAAGGCATTCTAAGTGATCATGTTCTTTCTATGCTGAAGCATTTCTGTCCTGATGGGAGTAGAATCTTCAAGGATGACAATGCCTCCATCCACAGGGCACAAGTGGTCACTGAATGGTTTAATGAGGATAAAAACAATGTAAACCTTATGTCATGGCCTTCCCAGTCACTGGAACACTGAACACTTATGGGAGATTCTGGAGTGGTGCCTGAGACAGCGTCTTCCACCACCATCAACTAAGTACCAAATGATGACATTTGGTGGTGTTCCAGTAGCTCTCCAGACACTTGTAAAATTTATGCAAAGGTGCACTGATGCTGTTTCAGTGGCTTGTAGTAACCCTATTAAGTAATTTTATATTGGTTTTTCCTTTATTTTTGCAGTTCACTACAGTTTATCTCTAATTTACCAGAATGTACACATGAAATAAAATCAATAGATAGAAAGCACTAAAAGAGTTAACAAAATAAAAAAAAAGTTAGATATTTGAATATTTAAATGGTGACCTAGCTGTAAATTGCATATAAGAGTGTTGCAGTCAGCAAGGGACAGAGCATTCTGTCAGTATCAGTCCAATGGTAAATGGATGTGACCTCAGATGTTTAGAACTTTTTTGTATTCTTCTCCATGAGGATCACCTAGTGTTTTCTGAGGTCCCCTGAAATCTTGTGACTGTAGAATGATGTGTTTCTATTAACCTGTATGGTGAAGATCAGACTTGCAGTTTCTTACCAATATATTGGAAAGGGCTACCCAAGATCAGTTCTTGTTTACTTGTTAACCAATTATTTAAACACCTGAATCTATTAATCCCCTTAATCGTACAGGAATGAAAATGATATTATTCAAGAAAGATGTTTTTGCATTGTTGAATGTAAGCTTTCCAACCATTTAGCTTTTGAATTTTTACCAGGCAGTTGTATTGGGGATCCAAAGCAGATGAAAAACATGCAGAAAACTTCTTTTTTTGCATTACCTTTAATATGAATAAAAGTCTAACAATTCCTACATTACATCATGTAGAAAAAAATGTAGGGCACTTCCAAAGAGGGTAGATGGTAAAACTAAATGATGCTTTGGTAATTTATTATACTGTCATTTTTTAACTTTTCTACTGAGTGTCTTAGTATAATGTACTGTTAATATGGCTGACTAGATGCAAATGCTTGTGGGGATAGTTTTTACGTGGCTTTTCAAAACGTACCTGATTGTGCTTTCCAGCTGAGAGAGTGACATTTTCAATGTCTTATCCACAAGCCTCCATTGGTTTTTCTGCCGTCACTGAGCTGCCTGGCCAATGCTGGCACTGCACAGGTCATGGATGTTGCTCTCTTCAAAGCTAACATAAAAGAGGCCACAGCTCCAAACAAGTAGCAAACCAAGGGGTTATCAGGGCACCATGGAGAGCACTGAACCATATGGCAGACCCTCCTACTGGTTTCAGGATAAAGAACACAAAGCTGCACTGAATAATCATTACCTCAAAAACAACTGGAAGGGAGAAGGAAAAGGAGTAAGATTGGTTAGGTACTAAAGCAGAAAGGAATGAGAGGTATTTGATGAGATTATATACAGTAGCTTGTGCTGCATATTCGTGACACTTAAGCATAATTGTGAATGCTTGCAAACTAAACATCCTGCCAACATTTTAGAATTTTTTAACAAGATATATCTTTAAGAGTTAAAAAAGCCTAAGGTATTTACATTATCTTGTTATTTTATATATATATATGTTTTTTGTATTTGTACTTCCTTTGGAGTTGATTACTATACTGTAGTTATATGTGATGCAGCAGCATCTAGGCTATAGTCCCATCCTACACTCTGAACAGAGACTGGTTTGCAGATGAACTGCTAGTGATAATATTTCTGGATAATACTGTTGAAGAAATGTCCAATGTCCAATTAGTGTCCAACTGTAGCATATTTATTATTCTTACACTGGCAGAATCATTCAGTTTGATTGATTGGTGTCCTTCAGGTTCTGGCTGATGTTGAGAAAAGCTCTTCAAATGGACAGGAGGAAGAGAACTGGGAGAAGGCCCTGTCAGTGGAGAGATTTGGAGATATAATTTCCGAATCCTCCTCCCGAAATGCCGAGAAAATGGGCCGCAGCTACAATGAGAGGGACTTTGAGTGTATGTACCACTGTTGCATTACATGACACTGATTTGTGATGCTTAAAATACTGGCAAATACATTTACACATCAAAATGTCTTAGGTACACTAAGGTAAACTTTTCAAGGTACAAATATTAATGGGAATGCTTTATCTTTATCCATCAATGAACAATGAATAATACATAACCACATTCTTTGGTGTAAATAATATTTGAATTTCACAAAAACATGGAAATGTGCCTTGCATCTAGATTATATTTCTATAAGAAAAAAGGAGTTATTATAATTTTAATAATACCAGTACTCATCAAGATTTGTAGATTTAGCTGTAGATTTAAAGTTTTGAAAACTGAAATTGTGCACATTGAACTTCACTGAACAGTCTTTTTGCCATATACTTTTTGCCATGCTTCTTCTATGGCACCATGAAACATATAATTTAGTTTCCATTAACCCAATTCTTACAATTTAATTTAATCACTGGAACTGTAACTAGTAATAGATCGGTTGTACTAATGAAAAACGTACATTTTCTACACAACAGTCTGCTTGCAAATTAATGAACCTCCTGTGACTGGAGATATTTACAGGCAAGGTTCAATGTAGAATTGAGAAGAGGAGAGGCCAACATGTGGCCCCTTTTCAATGCTAATGGAAGGTAGAAACATTCTTCTCAAATATAATGAAATTCAAACTGCAGCTTTTCAGTGATGTCAGAAAAAAAAAACTGCTCCTATAATGATGAAACCTCACTCTAGGTCTAATTAATCCAGTGGATGAAATTGAGCGATTTGTACCATTTTTTAAATCGGATGAATGGTTGACAGCTTAAGACAAATCGTATAAACATTATCCAGTAATCAGATGTTAAAATGCCAATGGAAAGTGTTGGTTTCACAGCTGTAATGATGGTGCAATTATATTGACAGACTTCAGAAGGAGTGTTTGCTTCAAGACCGCTTTATTTAGTAGGTTTATGAGCTAGTATTGGAAATACCACTGACATAATATTAGAGCTTAGTTTAAGCCTTTTAAGATAAAGTGATATAAACAAATGTAATCAGTGAATAAAGTATCAGAGTACCAGAGGGTTATTCTGTTTGTGTTATGTTCTTGCTTAGATCACCGTCATACCTTTCATCATACTCACCACCCCCTCTCCACCCACCTCCCCCCACCACTGCGGTTCCGCAAGAGAGTGTTTTGCATTGACCGACGCAAGAAAAAGAAACGCAAGAAAAAGAAAACCTCCATCCCACCCTCAGATGTCACGCCAACCATCCAGGAAGTAGACGAAGAGGAAGTGGAGTCTGAGACAGAAGGCCATGGCCAGGTAGTCACACCCACTGAACAGACGGAAGGCAAACCAAAGGTAACCTCATGGGGTTATGCGGTAAATGGGGCAGAATGACTGCTGATCAAAAGGGGCTGACATTTGATATTTGATATCTATCAGGCTTTCATGGATATGCAATTTGCTTTATGTGATATTACACAGGGGATCTAATCCTATGTTTGACATACATCAGCAGAAATACTGTACATATACTGTACACATAACGGTAAGAAGCAGTATTTATTGAGAGTTAATAGACATGTGCAACAGATGCATGTTCTCAATCAAGTAGTTTAGATTGCTCTGTCGTCACCATATGAGCAGCAAAGGGACAAGTAGACGTTAATTCCATTCTGGAAAAGAGGAGTAAAAAAAGAAAATGGAACTCTACTTCTTAGAGCGACCTCTGCAAGTGACATTGTTGATGTGCAAATATTGATAACTGTGTTGGACTGACTAGTTTTAGGTATACCAATTTTTATATCACTTCACCATCTTCAGTTCATGTCTCACGTCTACTATTAATGTTGTTCTCCACTCTTCATTTTGGAAACCTATGTGTCTCTTAAGTATCCAGGATTGAAAACCTCTGTATATTATAAATATACAAATTCACACTCTTTTCTCTTTTCCATTCTTACAGTTTCACAGACTTTTATCTGAGCAAAAAACAGTCCGCAAGAAAGGTCCCTACCCAGAACCATATTTCATTTATTTCTACCTTAATATCCTTTATATTCCTACATTTATTGAGCAAAGCTTCTATATTTTATGGTCCTTCAGCTGGAACCTTTTTTGTAAACACACCAACCACCTAATCTACACAGCCTTCATGTTCACAGCACCCTTAAGCATCCACAGTTGCCAACGTAACAAGAACTTTTTGTTGCAATAGAAGTCACTGTGTCACCTACAAGTGCACATCCACAAGCACACATATCCATGACGACTCTGGTTATTTCAAGATCACCCAGAAGCCATCATAGGTGTCCAGCATTTCATTTATTTAATCACTTGCAGAAAGTGCCCTACAATTTATATACTGTAGGTGGAATAGGAGTTAATGTCCAAAATTTAGAAACCACATCAGACTAGTGGTCTTTTCAGGTCAATCGTTCCCATTTCAGTGTACCCCGACCATGAGTACACTGAGTACCTGTATGTTATTACAAAACCTTAAAGTCACCAGAAGCCAAAAGTATGTGTAAACTAGCTTTGCACTTTCCCTCAGCAATTTATAGGCTGCTGCCTTTGACACTTCCCCTGAATTTCACAATCCAGATTTCTGTCTCATTGGGCTCTTTTTGCTTTACCTCCTAACCATTCTTCTACATTTCTTTTGTTCTTCTTCCACCCATTTGCCTCATATTCCTGATCCCTCACTAATTCCCAACATACACATTAAGAATGCTCCACAGCTGATTTTTATTTTGTTTTTACTTTTCAGCATGGAATAATTTATTAATTCCTCAATAAAATAAGATGAAATGTTTAGTGTGGAAGTGAAATAATTTACATTTTTTTTAACAGTTACCTGTATTATTAGATTCTATTTTGTTGCAAATCAAAACATTTGTCTCTTGTTAACATAAATCGTGTATTTTTTTTATTTTCACGTGTTGCTTTTATGTACCACAAAAAGTTTGCCTTACATCATCCATACAATGTTAGTGCATTAACCTGAGATTTACGTGTCAGAAATGTGTTCTCCATTCAAAAAATGGGTCATCCACATTTTTTCAAGATCTCTGTAAAATCCAGAAAGAAACTCCCACATCTTAAAGAGCACAGTAAAGCTGATTTTCCAAGACCCTGTATGGAATATTGACAAGTCCTCTATGAATCTGCTGTGCCTGAGAAAATTGCAGCATAAGGAAATGAGTTTTGGGAAGTAACCTTAACTCTCTTTGCCTAAACTGAAAACAACATTTGCTGAAACTTTTCTTCTTAAACCTATGGTGTGATACGCCATTCTCATGGAAGATGGACTGAACCTTGCTAAATGATTTGATTGATGAACAGTGATCTTTTGCATTTTACACCTTTTGGTGTCACAATATATTCCTCTGTTTAATGTTCAGGCAATCGTGTATAGTAATTTGGATTAGAATTGTACTTTGACAGACTGTTTGTGTGTGTCCATTTTGAGAGGAACCCAAAACAAACAGTAAAACAATGTATGTGTATAATCCTTCTAGTTCAGTCTTGGAAATGAAGGAGATCTTGCACCACCTCTGGCCTTCACAAGTTTTCACATAGAAAGGGAGTGTCCCCCTACCTATGTGGAAGAGACCTGTGCCAGTGCAGAGTCTGAGGCCAAAGACACAGGAAGAAGGGAGGAGGTTTTGAACAGGTTGGTATATTGCAAATTAGATATGAACATTTGACAAACAGAAAAACTATATGCTAATTTAGGTGATTCATTTCCAAGAATATATGTACTTGGGTATTTATATGAATGCTGTATGTGTCATGGCCAAAATGTACATTGTTTTACAAACTTACAGCCAAATTGTATGCTGTACTGGTAACAGAATCACTACATTTTCATTATAAAGCTATTCATAAAATTAAATAATGAGCATATGACCTCATATTCCCCTTCTGATTTCCCTTTTTATTATAGCTCTTTTGTTCTGTAACAGTAATGGTTTATAACCTTTAAACTTAATATGTCTTTTCTAGGTGGGATTAATCCTGAAGTCCATTGTATCATATTTCTGTTCAAACAAATCCAATCAAGAAATGGTGAAATAACTATTTTAAAGAATCCTGTTAACAGTATAGATTTGTTCTGGCATGAAAATGCTTCATTTGCATTATTCTCTGCTCTGAAATCCAGATTTAAATAATAATGACTAATGATCATTCGTGTCATTTTGGTTCAACTAAAGTTTGTTCTTCACACACACATGATAATTAAATTCTAAATACTCAGTATCAATTTAGATATTTATATAGCCAACTTTGGACAAGTGATCTGAAATTATATTGATATATTTTCTTTATAATGCCTCTTTATTAAAACATTGAGCTGGTTGTAAGCCTTCAGATGCTTAGATGAAGCAAGCTGTATTTCTGTTGAACATAGCTCCACCTGCTGGCCATTACATCGTGTGCCATTATCCAATGTTTGCATTGCCTGCTTCAATAATAATAATACTAATAAACTTTATTTTATATAGCACCTTTAAATGTGGCTTCTCAAAGCACTTTATAGAATGACAACAACAATAAATAAAAAGAATACTCAATATAAAACAAAATTACAATACACAGAGGAGATTGTGGATGTTGATACTAATTATAGTAGGAACATAGGGGTAAAGAATGCAACGGTTAAGTAAAGAAGAAGGTTTTGAGTCTGGATTTGAAGGAGTTTAGAGAAGGTGACTCTGATATCCTTGGGGAGAGAGTTCCAGAGCTTGGGGGCATAACAGGAGAAGGGCCTGTCACCCATAAAATGAGACCAGAATTAGAAGAGCGAAGGTTGTGAGGTGGGGAGTAGGGTGATAATAGTTCAGACAGGTACTGAGGTCCCAAGCCATGCAGAGCCTTATAGGTGAGCATGAGGATTTTAAAGTTATTTGACAGGAAGCCAGTACAAGGACTCCAGGATAGTAATGTATACACTTGCACTGGATCTGGTCAGGATTCTTGCTGCCAAATTTTGGACATACTGCAGTTTGTTCAATGTAGATTTAGATACCCCAGCAAGTAGAGCAATACAGTAGTCAATTCGAGAGAACACAAATGTGTTGATCAGCTTTTCGACCACAGTTAGTGATAGCATAGGGCGTAGTCTAGCGATATTTCTGAGGTGAAAAGAAGACATTTTGATAATATGCTGCACATGTGGGTTGAATGTTAAACCAGAATCGAATATCACCCCAAGGTTTTTCAATTTAGCCTGAAGGTCAAGTACAGAACCATCTACAGATTGAGTTACAGGACTGGCTTTACAAAGTTAATGGGGGGTGCCAATAAGCATGGCTTCAGTCTTGTCACAGTTAAGATGAAGGAAATTTTGAGTCATCCAAGTTTTTATGTCAGAGATGCAATTAGATAGAATAGAGACAGCCAAATCAGTGTCAGGTTTGGTATGGATGTATATTTCAGAATCATCAGCATAGAAATGATAGCTGAAGCCATGTGATCTTAAAAGCTGACCAAATGGAAACATGTAAACACTGAAGAGCAAGGGGCCCAGTATTGAGCCCTGAGGAACACCAGACTTAACAAGACCAATTTCAGACCTACAGTATACCCATTAAGAGAGACAAAATGACAGCGATCAATGAGGTAAGATTTGAACCATTTGAGAGCAGTGTCAGAAACTCCAAACACAGCACTGAGATCAAGAAGGATGAGTAAAGAAAGAGAACCAGAATCACAAGCTATTAGAAGATCGTTAGTGACTTTGACCAGGGCAGTTTTTGTGCTGTGAAGCTGACGAAAGCCAAATTGGAGGGGTTTGAGAAGGTTATTTTCCATGAGGTGGTTATGTACCTGAAATGTGACAGCACGTTCTAGAATTTTTGCAAGAAAGGGTAAGTTGGAGATGGGGCAAAAATTGTTTAGATTGTTGAGAGCCATGTTAGGCTTTTTTGGCATGGGGGTAATGGCAGCAGTTTTGAGGACCGTTGGTACAGCGCCAGTGCTCAAGGATTCATTTATAATATTGAGGACAATGGGACAGAAAGAATTGAAACAGGACTGAAATAAAGTGGTGGGAATGGGATCTAAAATGGATATGGTGGGTTTCATGTGATGTGTGTAACTAGTTTATTGAGGGATGCTGAGTCAAGAAGAGAGAAGTTGGGGAGAAGGGAACCAGAAACATTAATAGGGCATGTGTGGTATAGAAAAGATCTACAGTGTTGTAAAAATGTTCAGAGTTTTGCAACTACAGTATATGTGAACTCATTAAAATTTTAAGAAGAATATTCTTAAAATTAATTTAATGTAATGTATATGTATTTACATCTTTAATCAGCACAAGAATGAAACATACGAATTTGGCCTTTCAGACGACAAGATGATTTGGAACAAGCAAGGATTCACAATCCTTACTATTTATTCCAAATCTGTAATACAGTATTGCATATTAAATAATCTTGGGGAGTAAACATGAAAGAACAAGTCTAAAACTATACATGAAATTGATTTATTCCCTGATGTAAAAATGCACACATGACAATGTCATGCATATTTCATATTTAAAAATGGCTGAAAACGATTTTGTATGTAATTAAGAAGGTATGTTTACTTATAAATATATATTATATACATTATAATAAGAGCACTAACAGTATATTAAGTCATGTGATCTGCTCTTAAATATATCATCATTAACCAAGCAGCATGTTTCATCATAATCACCATCTTCAGTCTTCATCAATCTACTACAAGGTGAAATGCTAAGATTTTCCACCAGTATCTGTTTTCAGCTATCCTCAACCAATTTACAAAGTTTTTAAGGTTATCTAATCTAATCATACAAGATTCCTTGTCTTTCTCTATTTGTCCCTTGAACATTGGTTCAGTATTTTTTTGCTCCACAAATGATCCATTCTTCTTGTCATATCCAGAATTTTTTACAGTACAAACTATTGTTAGTACTCAAATCTATTTATTAGCCTCTTCTTGTTATTTCTATAATTCTCTGGTTTTGTCTAGTTTTTGTGTCATTTCCTGCACCTCAAGACTAGGTTTTTCTCTCTTACATTTCCACAAACAATATCCTGAGAGTTTCTGTTTCTCTTTATAATAGTTTAACATGTTTGTACCACACAGAATACAGTGAGCAATCCATGCAATACTAGTGATGTCTTGTTTTAAACTGTAATAACTGATTCAGGGACTTTGGCATTTTCTCTAGGTTCTCAAGACCCCCAGATACCACTGAAGTGACCACAAGAGGTTGGTTTAGGAGGAAGCCTTTTCACCGACTCACAGGGGGCCAAAGAGCGAACTACGACCTTCGGGAGAGAATCTGTATTGGGAGTATGACAGCAATGGAGACTGCTGTGTACCAGAAAGTCCCCACAGATGAGGCTGAGGCCCAGATGCTTGCTAGTGCTGACCTGGATGACATGAAAAGTAAGAACCTTTTCTAATTTAAAAGGTAATTTACAGTAGACCATAAACAAAATATTGCTTTTCTAAAACAATGCTCATCTGGTTCAACTGTTGACAACATTCTAGACATAAAAAACTTGCTCCTTATCACTACAAAAAAATCAAAAGGTTACTATTTAGAAAATTATATGTTTTTTGTAGTAGGGGCATTTAAATTGTTTTGAACATTGAACACCAAACAATATATGAATATTTAGTAACTAATAAGGGGTTGGAACATCCTTTGGCTTTAGAACAGCTTCAGTGCTTCTTGGAATAGTATTATATTAAAATTTGAACAGTTTCTAGTGGGATCAATCTGAAAAAGGAAAACCTCAATTTCTTTGAGAGATCTATTTGGTCATAGAGTTGTAGATAAAGTTCTGTGGTAAATCTTGATGCTGTTGTTTTGTGGTTTTCAGCATCTGTTCTGTTTAGTGTCCTTCTTTCTCTGTCGGTGAGTACTTGCTACCCCTGTTCCTCTTTCCTGATTATGTTTTCCCTTGTTTGGCTATGCTAGAATTATTTTAGCCTCAAAATGAAACAATTTCTCTCTTTATGTGACTGATGCATTTGCAATACGGGCACCAACTATTTGACCTTTTTCAAAATCTGTTAGATCACTCACATTGCTTTAGAAACTTGCATGTTAAAGTGTTGATTTTAAGACGTATTTATAGTGAAAACATGTGGGTAATTAGTATTGAAATTAATATGGAAAGTGTAGAATTCTTTTTAATTGTGATTTAGTTGTATTGTTGTAAATATGTTTCCATTTTTGGTTGGTGTTTCCATTATATTATTCACCCCCTGTAGGTTATTATGGTAATTGACATTTGCCACCAACAGATTGGATCAGTGCGAGTCAACTGAGAAAGTCACGGGTTAGTAACCTGTGGCAACTGTTTAAACAATATATGTAATTTTGTCTCAACACAGCATCTGCAAATACACTTTCTCAAAGAGCCTGGACAAACATTTACCTGTTTAGTGGTCTCTGAGCCCTAGATTCCATGCACCAACCTTAGCTCATCCCTAAAATGTTCAACAGGGCTCAAGTGTGGTGACTTTTCATCTCACAAGAAGGCTGTCATTACACAAACAGCATGTATCACTGGAATGTTGGTATGTCAGAATGAGACAACGGGAAAGCTAACGGGTGAGGTCCCAGGACATGATCTGTATACACAAGGGATATGCAGTGAGGTTATCAATCATTACAGTGTTCTGCCAGAGTTCTATAGTGACTAAACACACTACAGGAGACCATCACACTTGGACTTCCCCATCATTTTAGTGTTGGTTGCCAAGAAAATCAAGAAATGAAAACACAGAAAGGCAATCAACACTTTAAATCACCTCATCAACTGTGCACAAACAATTATCTGACTAATAAGGTGATTTTGTGCTTATGAGTCATTTTATATATATATATCACAGCCATGCATGTGTCAGGAATTCATCGAAATGACACAAAACCATTTATTCAATATCCACTTCTGTAAACTTTAATTTCCTGAAAACATACCCGCATAGTGAAGTTTAATGTGATACATGGTATGTTTTGAAATAAACAGTTACTGTACTTTTTAAAATGTGCAGTTATTTTTTGTTTTGCGTCTCTACTTCCACTTAATCAAATTGGCTATTGCTATGATTCTTGTACCAGAATTAGAGTGAAAGGGACAATATCCTCTAAAAAGTATATTGTTGGATTAATCTTTCATTTTTTTTCACGCTTCAAGCTTCATTGTGTGCAGAGCAGTATTTGCATTACTTACATGAGTGATTCAGCTTTTACCGATGACACTGCAACAATGTACCGACAAGCTCATCAGGTCACAATGGGGCACTTAACCAGTTTTCTACTGAATCCGTCCGCAGTCAGCTAATGATATAGCCCTGAGTCATTCTAGATGTGAGTTCCATGTGAACAGCGTTACTAAAGGCTTCTTTAGGGCTTTTAAAGAATCTTAGAGATTTAGGTAAAATTTAATAACTCTAGTGTTTTTTAGTTTAATGTTTGTCCTATGTTTTGAGATTTTTTTCATTTACATTTTTTTCATTTAGTAATGAAAATGTCATTACTATTATTAAGAAAATCGAAACTATAGTTTAATTTATATACATCACAGTTTTACACTACAAAAAATACCAGGTGGTTTCTCAAAAAGAGTAGGGGTGTAACCCCGGCGTCCTGGCCAAATTTCCCATTGGCCCTTACCTATCATGGCCTCTTATTAATCCCTATAATCTATGAATTGGCTTAATTACTCTGCTCTCCTCCCCTCTTTACAGTGGTGATGACTTATGCACTCTATTAATGGAACAAAAATAATTTCTTGCAGTGAAGTTTCAGTGAAGATTAATTTTGCATGAACAACATTTATCAATAAGCACGACAATTGTTTTCATTATCTTATGTCCAGTATGCCCATTTTTTGCTAAATTAATATGAGGTTTAAAAATCTTAAAACCAAACATTTTTCACAGCTAATTAAATTCCTCCAAAGTGGAGAACAATTCTCATAAAAGGTGGCATGGGTATCAACAATGCTGAATTACAGCTTTTGCATTAATTTCTTCAAATCCTTGTATTTTAAAAGTGATTATCACATTTTCATGATTTTCAATATTTTGTTTTTGCAAAGCTTAATGGAGAATTAACCTGGTTTTGGAGCCTGGTTTTAGAGAAGCAGGTCACATATCATCAAAGATGTGATATCATATCCAAATATTACATTTGGCAGAGACTGCAGGATGTCTTTCACATGTGCTTTCTCAGATGAGGTAGAACTTTTTTTCAAGAAGGTAACTTGTTTAACAGAATACTTTTGCCTTAAGACACTGTACATATTTTTCATCTTAGAACTGTTATCCTGTGCTCTCTTCACAAATAAACCATAAAAGGAGTGAGATGTAATTTACACTGAAGCCTAGGTATATAAAAATGTTTGGAGTGTTTATATTTTATCAACCTAAAATAGATTATTGGATAAGAACCTTTACAGAAAAGGTCTCACTATTTTTGGAGTCTTAAAAATACATTTTATGGGTAGTCCTGTGTCTGTAATGGGAATACATGGTGTACTTGTCAAGATAAATTGCATCTGTGAAGCCACTGGAATTTAATGAAAGGTTGGTCATGGAAATCGTTTTCTATAAATACTACAAAATGTATCTCCGTAGATATAACATGTGATGCATCTCAATATACAGTGTGCATCACATGCCATAGCAGTGCTTTTGTGAAATAAATAGCATAGATTAGCATGAATAGCATGATACTTAAAGTATATACTGTACATGTTGATCTCTTATCAACATGTACAGCATATACTTTATCTCTTAGACTTACAGTATAAAGACAAAAGTAAGTTCTATAAGAGAAAGCCAAAAAAAATTAAATTGGCATGAAAGAAAAAATGTATGTTGTATATATGTATTTCTTGCAGCATTTTCTTTGTGGAGTGCAGTTATTGTTTTTCCAATCATCTTTGTCAGGATGTCCCTAGAATGCCCCGGCTTTTCAGAGGTCTCACACCAGAATGATTCACCCGGCATCCTTTCCGCTTGACGTACATAGGGAGAGCTTTTAAATGTGATGGCATGCTCCAGTTCATCTCCCAGCTGTTCTGTAGGGTCAGAAATCTAGAGAACATTGTAACAGTTTCTTTTTTATATTGTTTATTGTTTAAGCTGTTTATTTATTTATTCTTTTACCCATGACATTAACTGTTAATTTTCCTTTTTTAGTATTATTGGTAATAAATATTTCCAAGAAGACACATGGTTCTACCTCGTTAATATATAAATATAGACAATAGTCAATTGCTACGTATTTATAAGGATATTTGTTATAAACCGTAAGCCCATTTCTTTTCCAGTTTTTGATACTTTTAAGGAACAAGCATCAGGGTTTCACAAAATAGTGTTATCCCTTATCATATAATGCTTATAAAACTTTCTTATGCCCCACTTAAAAGCAAGCTTACATTTTGAAAGTGAGTCCAAACAACATCTTATAAGTTTAAATATACATTCATATATGAATTATGTGAAATTTGCTGAGCTATTACTCAAACATTTGTAGCCACACTTGGTAATGTGTACTTACTTGTTCTTTCAACCTTTCTGGAAATGATTTGAATGATTTACATGACATGTTTGAGTTTTATTTGAATTTGTTCTCTTAATTTGTATATTTGCATGTCAATTTAATTAGGGTTTCAGAAACTAAGACCGAGGGAAAAGAGGATGAGGTTCATATGTATAATATGCAAGAGAACATTTCCTTTGTGGAAGCTACCATTTGAAGAACTATTCTGTGTTCAATGCATTAGTTTGTGTAAACTTGAGTCATTAAACCAAACACCATGTAATATTTTTTTAAGATCACCTTATTAGCCATATACAATTTCTTGTATTAGGAATTTGTCTTTTTGCATACCCCAACTTGCATTCCATGAGACTCACAGACAGGGAGAGAAGCTTGGGGTCAGAGTGCAGGATCAGCCATTTATATGGCGCCCCTGGAGCAGTTGGGGTTAAGGGCCTTGTTCAGGTGCCCAACAGAGTAGGATTCCTCTGCTGGCTGTGGGATACGAACCGGCAACCTTCCAGCCACAGGCGCAGATCCTTAGCCACAGAGCCGCTGCACCACTGATTTTTTAAATCAGAAGCATTTTTGTGGTGTCATTACTTTTTAAATTTAAAATAAGTTAGTGTCCACTAGTTATATTGTGAAAGCCGCTATTTGTATATGACTTTACTAACCATTTACTTAGTAAATTGGCTGTATGTGATAGAAAATCCAAAATGTGATGAGGTCAATTACATTTTATTGTAAGGAAAATATAATTCAGATCAGTCAATGACAGTATACTGCATTATGGTATCTGCATTTGGTAATCTGTAGAATACTCCTAATAATAACAACTGAATGTTTTTTTTTCAGTATGATATTTATAAGTCTGACCTAT